GGAGTGAGGCGCGCCGGGAGGCGGGGGGGGGGGGGGGGGGGGGGTGAAGGGGCTCAGCCTGAGAGAAACAAATGACATAACCACCTTTTTATCTGCATCTGTTGGCTGGACTAGTGACTTTACTGCACAGTGGGATTTCCTAAGAGAACATATTTATATTTTCCATCTGAATTCCCACCGATCTCTGAAGTAAATTTGGAAAGCAGTCTTCAACTTTGCCTTGAATGCATGCACACCCACACGTGCACGACACAAACGCACAAAAGCGTTGCTGTCTGCTCTCACAGACTCCTGATCCAGCAGGCGGGAGCTCCATGTCTGAGCACAGAGGCAGCAGCAGATCCACCCTCAGCCTGAGCCAATGTGTTGGCTAGCTGCAGTAGCTAGCCATTCAAATGGCCTCTCCCATCTCCAAGCAAGACAGACACATGCTTTAACCCTTTGAGTCCTTCTCTTCTCTTCTCTTCTCTTTTCTATTCTATTTTTTCTTCTCTTCTCTTCTCTTTTCTATTCTATTCTATTTTTTCTTCTCTTCTCTTCTCTTCCCCCCCAGCCAGTCAGAAAAAGCAGCAGTGCTAAGACGTGTGTGAGAGAAAATTTAAAAAAAGCAGACGTTGTAGCAGGCAGTCAGCTGAACTCAAGTGAGATGTATTGCCTTTTCCCCCGTTTTCATTAGTGCTTGTCATGTATATTTAAAACTTTTGTGGAAGGAGAGAAAACAGAGGCATTTTGTCAAATTTAATAACTTTTTATACAAAATGCTTCTGTGGGAAATGCAGCGTAAGCATAAGAAAAGAACAAGTAGTTATTATTATTATTATTTGGGGAAATAAAAAATGACATATAGGAAATAAAACAAAGCTGCTGCAAGGGTTCTATATTTTATCCGACCTCCATTAAAATTTGGATGAAAATTATACACTACTATTTACTTTTGAGATTTGAAAATGAAAATAAAATAAAGTGTAGCACTTGATGTCTTACTGTACAAAGCTGCTGTCGACGCCTTTGACATAACTATATTTAAAAATTAGAAAAAAAAAAACTCTGTCTTGGAACTTTTTGACCTTGTACTTTCTGATGTAATTCTGTTGACGGTCCACAGCTCCACACCTCACACCTGTCTACGCCTCATCGTGTCTAAAACACAGTTCTACTCTTTAGTCCTTCAGCAACTCTTCAGAGTCACTGAATCCAAGCCTTTCATCCATTTTATGGCCACACCAATGACAAAAGTCTCCTTAAAGTTGCCCAGAATTGCTTTTGTAAATCAAAACCCAGACAAGTGGTGAGCTGGTGCCTTGTTGTAATCAGTTCTAACCACTGACAATACATGGAACACACTCTCACAAATTGAACGCATCTGGGAGGAAAGTTTTGATTTTGTTCTGTGATGTGATCTTTTCACAGACACCAAATAGTGCAAACATTGTGTGAGGGATGGGGCGGCGGCGGCATCCATTTTGGTCACTGATGTCAGTCGTCAGATATGTGCGCAGGGCCGACGAGAGAACAAGCGGAGCACCGCTCTCCGTAAACACCAAAACAAACCACTCGCTGTCTAAAATATTTATGCTAGAATAAAAAAATATCAAAGCTCGGCCATAATCAGTCCCAGTGCAGCTGTATTAGTAACGCTAGAGAGAGAGAGAGAGAGAGAGAGGGAGGGAGAGAGGGAGCAACAGGAGCGAGTCCACTGTAGAAGAACAAGAGGCTTGTTTCTAGTTTCTTGTTTCTTGTTTGTTGTTTCTTGTCGATAATGTTTTCAAGGTTGAGACCCCACGCCACGTCTGATCACCCAGAGGGGGGGGCCAGGGTGGGAGGGGGAGCACAAGGTTCTTTCTTTAATCACATGCTTATATTAAGTATGATTTTTTTTCTGTCTACGTGGTCCACTCAGCGTGCACTCAGATCATCACTAAAACCCCGACCATCAGCGTGTACTCAGATCATCACTAAAACCCCGACCAAAAATAACATTTCTGACTGAACTTTATTTTGTTTCTATTTTCTTGTTTTGCAGGTGACTGAGATGCTGCACAGGATGAATCAATGAAAACACTTTCATTTCTACTTCGACATGGAACTCATATGGATGACAGTTATTTACACAGCCCCCTCACCCCCCCCCAAAAAAAGGTGGATTTCAGCCCTAAAATGAGAAGCCTCTGTGATATTCATTAACCACAGTCATCCCTGAAAATCACTGCGGTGAGTTTTTTCCACGTCCCTCTCAGAGCGCTGATGAAATAACAGTACATTGAAGCAATTTGTGTTGAGATCATATTAAGACCCGGGTTAATGCCAAATTGGACCGCGGCACTGTGCTGGTCGGTAATTAAAATTCCACGGCCATGACAAGGGTACTATTTAGTCTCTTATGGAAGTAAATTTTTGCTGAAGGCCCAGCATTGAACAACCTTCCTAGGAACAAACTGTTATGAAAATGCTGACTTGTCAAAGTTTCTACACTCTGGGCTTTTCAGATGCCACTGTTGACAGTCAGATTAGTCAACGGACAACATGGGAGAAACAACAAGTTAAACAGCCATTTTAGGATAACCTA